TACAAGCACGTTGGCCAGTGAATCAACTTACGGAGAAGGAAACTGAAGGTTGGTTTGGCCGTGCTGGTCCGCGTGTTTGCTTTTGGTGGTGGTGGGGGGGGAGAACGTCATCCGTAAAAAGGTATCGTTGTATATCATTGTAATACAGTATGCTGTCAAATTTGCCCCTTTTGTTATATGCTTAGTATTACAGACGTGGATTCGTTAATTGTACGCATCTTTTCTCTGCATGGCTGCATGACTAGTTCGTAAGTTCTCATTCCCTCCCCCCCCCCCCCCCCCCCTCTCCTCCCCCCAACCCCGTCCAGTCCCCCCCCAAAACAGGCTCCCATTGGGTTGGTAAAACATCATTATTGTATGTATATATATATGTCTTTTCCTTGGTTTTTTCGCTTTGGCGCTCTGATATTATGTGACAATATATTGTACATATATTGACGATATATATGTATTGTCCTTATGCAGATGATGAAAATTTGAGATCCACATTTTGAACTCCTTTCCTTTGCTTGCCTTTGTCGGATTTCCGCTTTTTCTTCAGCGTAAGGCCCTGGTTGCACCACTCGCCATCGGCCGAGATTTTGAAATCATCTGGACAAATACGTGTCCAGGTGCATTCAAAATCCTGGTGGATGGCGAAAGGTGCAACTAGGCAGTAAGGATAACGTGTTCAGGGTAAGTTTTTTTCATTCCTTGGCAATCTACGGTGATCCTGAACCGTTGTCGTCTAATTTGAAAGGTTGATTGTCATTCTTTTTTTTTTTCTTTTTTTTTGTTTAATTAGAAGGCCCGACTCGCTCTGCAGGAGAGGTTGATCGTCATCTTTTTCTTTTTCTTTCTCTTTTCTTGGTTCTTTTTTTTCCCCCCGTTATCTGGCTCTTATCCGAGTAAGATTACAGATAATGAGATAAGACACCGCGGCTCGGTTTAGAATAACAAAACAGACCCGTGCAATAAGAAATCTATCTATCTATATTTTAAGAAGAAATCCATATTTTGGGGCGGGATTGCTTCTGATTGAGATGCATGCTGTGATCTGCGGGGATCAGGCATTTGTATCTGAGTGTGGGTGGTGCGGATGCTGACCAGCTTTGGGGGAAGGTGTGTAGGGAAGGAGATTCTTTTCTTGCATTCTCCTGTTATTTTTTTTACGGCAGCAGTATCAGAGCAGGTGCATAGGGGTTCTCTCATTTTGCCTGCCTGTCTGTCTTTCTCTTAGACACACATATTCACGTGCATCTTCACTCAAAAAAGTACCAGAATTTCGGAGGAGGTGAGAGGTAGGTAGAGAGGCCCATCCCTTCACTCTTATTTCCGTCCTCCGCCTTGCCTACCACCAATATTATGGCGTGTGACTCTCTCTCTCTCTCTCTCTCTCTCTCTCTCTCTCTCTCTCTCTCTCTCTCTCTCTCTCTCTCTCTCTCTCTCT